AGCTTATCAATTACAGAGGAGGGGAAGGATAGAGGGGCAAAGCATTGACTCTATAAAATGCAGTGTGGGTGACAGCTCTTGAATTTTTGCTTTCCTATTAGGTTTACTGAATTTAGATACTTACTTTAATAAACATGGTTTGCAATTTATCAAAGTTTTCTGGCTTTGTAAATAGCCTTATGTTCCTTTTTGTCTATATTAATCCTAGGGGACAGGGAGCAAAATGATGCCGGAATTAGGCAAAAAAGGAACAAATTCCAAATACAGCATTTAAAGACATGTGACATGACTTGATCCAAGTTAATTTAACTTCTTTGGAAACCATTTCTCTTCTTTGCTTAAATGGATATATCTAGCTGGAATGTTTTAGGAGTGAAATAACATACTATTTGTGTAGATGATAGTTCAGCACACCACTAATACCCTCTTTTCTAGAGGATAAGATCCAATCATTGGAATACATCTTTTAGCAGAACTGTTTTCTGACTTACTGTGGGTCTTCTCCAACTAGGCTATCCTGTGGGTGGTGCTCCTAAAATTCAACTTTTTCATTCATCACACACCAGTAGGGTATGTGGATCTAGGGTGTAGGGTAGATACCATTCAGATATAGTATAGATACTATACCTCTGTCACATTTTAACAGCACTTCTAAAAGGCAGCCAGAGAAAGAGTGAATTCATACAGACTTGATGGTTTTGAATCTTGTTCCTGGCATCAGGCAGATACCACCAAAATACAGTTTTAAAACAGTTTCATGGATTGTTTTTGTGAAAAGGGGTACTGGTATTTCAGATTTTTTGTATTCAGCAAGTAGCTCAGTTTTATTAAAAAATAAATAGGTCACACAAGTATTAAGTTTAGTATTTTAAATCCATAAGGTTAGCATGCTATTTAAAAGGTGGTTCCAAAAAGGAACAAGCCAGTAATGGACTCCAAGTCTTCATTTGTATTTCATCTCACCTAGAACGCCCTGTCCTTTTCCCTCTATTTAAACAGACATCAAGAGCCAAGTTAAGTTTTATTTTCTCCATGAATCTATTACCCTACTCTCTCCTCATCAATGAACTTCTATTGTGATTTCAGTTCAATCAATTAAATGTTGAATTAATATTGTCTGAGCATTGTTGCTAATTTCTAAATAGCTACGAAGACTGTTATTATCTGAGGGCAGGTATTATTTATTGATTAATAGCAATCTGTGTTCTCGTTATTATTGTTAGCTGACAAGCCATGCATGGTAACCTGTGCACAAGGGGATCAGATCATTGTGATCCATAGGGTCTTTATAGGCTGATTTTCCTAAGTAGATCAGTAGGCCTTTCTTCGTAGATTATCCTAATCTGGAAGCTCTACTGAAACCTGTTCCAACATCATAACAACACACAAGGTACAGTGTCCAGGAATCTAACCTGGGTCTGCATAAAAGGCAAGAATTCTACCATGGAACCACCACTGCCCTCCTATTACTACCTATAGAGTCCTCTTATATGTGCCAAACACTATTTTATCTAACACAGATTCACAGTAAACAGTTAACTATAATTCTGGTATTATAGTTATTCTGTATTCTCCACAATGCTAAGTGTAACAGATGCAAGGGCAAATATATGCTCAATGAATACCTCAAAATTTACTGGTTGCCTGTGATTGGCTGAGAGTTAATCAGCAGGGTCCATTAAAAGCACTGAGTACTTGCAAGTATATTAAAGATGCTGGAATTATTGCCACAAAAGGGAGAAGGGGAGAATGAGGAAAATTCTTATGTCATTTGAATTGATGGAAGTAGATTCCTACGTAAATACAGTTAAACATCTTTGTTTATATTTATAACCTGTTGTTGTTGTTGTTGTTTGCTGTCGAGTCAGCCCCGATTCATAGCGACCCCTCCTTGGGTTTCCGAGGCAGTAACACTACGGAAGTAGAATTGCCCAACCTTCCTTCCTAGGAGTGGCCTACTGAAACCTAGCTTAAATTTTTTGTGAAAAATCAACTACCAAGAAAGAAAGAATAAATAGAACTGATGGCCCAAATCTGTTACTCCATCAGCTACATCAAAATCTTCACCTCTATGATGAATAAAACATCTAATAATCCTCAAGAAACAATAACAAGATAATTTAGATTTCATGATTGGCACTATTAATAACCAAAGGTCAGCTCTGACCTCTATAGGAAAGAAAAATTTCCAGAGAAGGTGATAAAAATAAAATCGATTCTGGATGTGCCAAATGCCTTCACAAAGTGAAAAAGTGTGCTGGAAATAATATAAATAGGAAATCAAAATTAAAATATTCCACATTGGAAAGATTTTACATAACCTAGTTATTTGTTTAGTAAAATAACCACTGGCTGTGCGAGCTCTGGTAGCATAGTGCCTAAGGCATTTGACTGCTAACTAGAAGGCTGGTGGTTCAAACCCACTAGTTACTCCTTGGAAGGAAGGTTGGACAATCTACTTCCATAGTGATATTGCCTTGGAAACCCAAAGAGGGGTGGGTATGAGTCAGGTCTGATTCGACGGCACATAACAACAACAACATAAAGTGATTTTTATTTAAATTATCTTTAATTTTTATCTCTCTTATTAAACCTGAGGAGCTCTGGTGGTGTAGTGCTTAAGGGCCTTAAATCTCCAATTTCATTGGAGAAGAGTTTAATGGAAAATGTGTAGGGTAGCATTTACTTATGAGGATGAAAGAGTATTAGTTATTTTGCTAGTGCATCATTTAAACTGTATTATCATGAAATGAAGTCTTTTGCAAAAACGTGTTTTCTAGATAATTGATACTTAACTTATTAAGTGCCAATTTTTTTCCCAAAAATTTGGGATAGAAATCTATATCGTTGTTGTTAGCTGTCTCACCAGGAGGCTGGCAGTTCAAAACCACAAGCCACTCCTTGGAAGGAAGACTGGGCAATCTATTTCCATAGAGACTCCACCTTGAAAACCCAAGGAGGGGTCACTATGAGCTGGAACTGACTCGACAGCAGTGAAATTTTTTTATCTGTTATTAAACCTGTGACCAGAGGCTCTAAGAATTGTAGAAAACTAAGTTACTTCTTTGGGATGAGGACACCTTAGAACAATGGTATTTCCAGTTTCTATCAAAATCTTCCCAAGACAGACCCTGGGAATCCAAGCCAAATGGGAAGGGCAGGTTTCTTCAGCTGTGATTACAGGACATAGCAGACTTGAGTGCATATCCTAAGCCAGTTAGAAAGGTAAAAATATGAAACTAAGGTAAAGAAGAAAGTTTATCTGCTAAGAATCCAAAAATATGTGCAGTGCTAATATGTTAAGGCCAAGGGTCTTAACTCCTGCTACAGAAGTTAATTTTCTAATTTGAATGAGCATTTAATTTCCTGACATCTACAGAGGCGTCGACACATTCAGACATAGGCTGCTGACCTCGTTGAGTGCCATTTAAGGAAGCAGACAGGCTATACAATTAAAAAGTGTGGAATTCAGATGCTAAATATATGTGGTAAACATAGACAAAATTCTTTAGTTAAGAAATTAGAACAGTATTTATTGATGCCACTTTTTCTTTTATTTGAAATCATCATGGTTACCTATGTCTATCAACAGTAATAGTTTTATTTATTGAACTTTCTTACAATTAAATATGATATTGCGCTTATGTATTAATAGGCTGAAATATAAAAAAAGAGCAACTCTTTATCTGAAAAATCTATCCTCAGGAAAGAAGCCTAATGAAATAAATAGAGCCTAAACTTTGGGGTCATACAGACCTGATTCCCAATCTTTGCTGTGTGACCTTAGATTAGATGATTAACCTCTACAAGACTATATGTTCATCTGTAGAGTGGGAATGAATTTCCCTATTCTTTACATACAGTTTTGTGTAGATAACACAATGTGTTAAGCAGGATCTGAGTGAGTAAATCCCACCTTCATTATTAACTGCATTGTAAGGATCAACATGAGTTCAGTCCTCACCTTCACACTTCTGCATCCTCATCACTAGCATCCACCCACAGTTGGGTTGGAGCTCACAAGTTCAAAGGACATCTTTCTTCAGACACACTGCTCATGCAGTGCATCTCTGACTATAGCCACCTGGAGCTGGACCAGAGCTCACAAGTTAAAAAGACATAGTTCTTCAGACTGCACAATAGGCAGACACCAGTTTCAAGCTTGGGAAGTCTACCTGACACCCAATCTTTCCTGCTGGCCACAAATTTAGGGCTGGTTTCCCATTACCTTTTCAGGATGCCAGCCACAAGCTTGGGGAGTCCACCCAACACTCCAACCTTTTTACCTGCTGGCTTCTTTTACCCACTATGGGTTTGAAATTCACTGGAACAACTCACAGAATTCACAGAGAATATAGCATACTTACAAGTACCTATTAATTATAACCAGAATGGATACAAAGAAATGAATAGGAAAAGGTCTGGAAGGTTTCCCAGCCTGAACTTTCCATATCCCTGGGGATGTGACTATTCCTCTCCAGTGAGTTTCCTCTTCACCACCTAGGAAGCCAATGCCATTTAAATGTCCATAATTTAATTTGTCCTTATTGGATAGTCAATCTGCCTAGTAAATTAAATCATCCCCTCCTCTTCTTCTTCAGGTGAGCTGATCAGGTGGTCTTTCTGGCCCAGTCAGCCCCTAATCATTTGTACAAATCCTCAAGTGTAATCTGGCAGTTTTAGATAACAAAGTCATCTTGATTACCCAGGAAATTCTAAGGATTATCTCAGAAACAAAGGAAAAAAGCCAACTTTTTTTAGATAAGGTAATTCATAATTGCACACATATGTATAGTATTTTCAAAAGAATACTGCTTCCATCTCTGTACTCATGGAACACTTGTTCTCACTTCTAGAACAGTCCTTAGGTAAAAAATTTAAAGGACAGAAAGAAGAGGTTACACATTTTACTTGAATAAACTACATTAGTCAATTTCCATACATGACATGAACAGCTCGAGAGTCAGGGTAGATTTTTGAAAAAATTAATAACAACTCACCTGTGGTTGCTGTTCTGTAAGTTTATTTTGATACCTAAGGACCACTTCTCTAAGTTGCTTCTCTTTTTCATGTTTTGATTGTGACACTGTGCTCATAGTGCCTAGAGGGATGGAAGGTAGCTGCTCCACTCGATGACAGCTTCACAATTAAAAAGGATAAGACATAATGTCAGGAAGAAATATGAAAGTATCTGCTGTCTATAAAAGATGATTTATTTCTCTAAGGAGTTACTCTTTATGTCTTATATCCAAAATTGAAACACAAAGGAGAAACACTGTGTTGATGACTTTGGGTATTACACGGATGGCCTTAAATCTCCAATTTCATTGGAGAAGAGTTTAATGGAAAATGTGTAGGGTAGCATTTACTTATGAGGATGAAAGAGTATTAGTTATTTTGCTAGTGCATCACTTAAACTGTATTATCTTGAAATGAAGCCTTTTGCAAAAACGTGCTTTCTAGATAACTGATACTTATTAAGTGCCAATTTTTTTCCCAAAAATTTGGGATAGAAATCTATATCATTGCTGTTGTTAGCTGTCATCAAGTTTATTCCAACTTGCAAATGGTTAAGCACTGGACTATGAACTGAAAGGTTGGCAGTTGAAACGTGCCTGGCAGGGGCTCAGAAATAAGACCTGATGATTTGCTTCCAAAATGTATCAGCCTGGAAAACCGTGTGGAGTGTAGTTCTACTCTGCACACGTAAGATTGCGGAAAAAAACTCACTGCCGTTGAATTGGTTCCAACTCATAGTGATCACTCCTGGGTTTCCCAGTGGTATCTCTACAGGAGGAGATTGCCCAATTTTCCTTCTAAAGAGTGGCTGGTGGGTTTGAACTGCCAGCCTTCTGGTTAGCAGTCAAATGTCTTAGACTCTATGCCACCTGAGCTTTCTAAAATATATCAAGTAATTTTGCCTTTAAAATAGAACACACCGAACCCATGGATCCTTTGCTTGATGACTCAAGATCACTATGAAGATGGGTGACTACTATGACATTGGGCAATACTCAGTGATAGTCATACAGCCCCTTCATCAAATAGGTCTGATGAATAGGGCTACTATATCCTTCCCAAGCTCCCTGCAGCTGTCAGTATATCTGCTTTTAGCTGTTACTCTTTTTCTAGCCTCAGTCATATGCTGTTTCTAATCACTAGTGGGTTAATAAAAGTATTAAATAATCATATAGAATTTATATAAAGAAAAATTCACCAGGTTATGGATAAGGGTTTCCCTGGTTACAAAAATTCATAATAATTTTGTGACATGGTTTAGATGGTTTGAGTTCTCTCTCTCTCTCTCTCTTTTTCCCCTTCTTGCTTTTGGTTTCATGGCCACATTCTGGGGAGTGGAGTTAGCCACATTGTTGAAAAGTTAAACATTATAATGTTCATCTTGGTCTGAAAGCTTGACATGGATAAGAAGTGGACATAGGTTTGGTTCAGAGCATGGCTGGGAATGTGAGATAGTGTGGCAAAATTCTGAGGTCAGTTCTTAGAAACAACTGTAGTATGTTACCACCACCATCACCACCACCAGTTGACATCAACCTGACCCCAACTAACGGCAACTCATGTGTGTTAGACTAGAACTGTGCTCCACAGAGTTTTCAATGGCTTATTTTTTGAAGTAGTTCACCAGACCTTTCTTCTGAGTTGCCTCTGGATGGGCTCAAACTTCCAACCTTTCAATTAGCAGCCAAACATGTTAACAATTTTCATCATCCAGGGACTCTGCTCTATGATAAAAGATTGTGTATTATTGATAGATACAAGGAAGTTCCTTTCAGATACCATAAAGAACAGGAAGGAACAAAGTTCATAGAAAATAAATGTATATTAGGCTAAGAGAGGAAGGAGGTAGTTGAGAACTGAGAGGGCCTTGTCTCATTTGAAACAGAGAGGGAAAATTGAAGCAGATCAAACCTACTAGTTCTCTATTTTTCAAGGCTGTAGAATATATTTTTCTTGCTCCTTACCAACAAAGAAGAGTGAATGACTACAATCAAATTCAGTTATTACTGCGAAAAAATACTTAATTCCACCCACATATGGTATTTGTTATTACTGTTATTTTAAAAGAAAGATTCTAGATAAACAAATCCAGGAAACAACTACTATATATTCAGCACCCCATAAGGTTCATTTGAAGACATCTGTGGGGTAGAACCTAGATAGGCTTCTATTCAAGAAAAGAATCTTGAGGTAAGAATTTTTTATTCAGAAAAGAGAAAAATCAAAGTTTTATTATATCCATTCAACTGTCTTCATTTAAGAATTTTGGAAATGCATTTTGTATTTTAATATGTAGAACACACTGCAGCCATTTTTTGAAACACTTCAAAATTCACATTTTTGGTTCAGTCACGT